AAGAGGGTTTGGGTCACCAAAAATTGCGTGTTTGTTTTTTTTTTTTTTTATTCCACCCCTCCCCCCCGCCAATCTGCTGTAGTTTCATTTCCTGCAGCCTCTCGACCAACCCCGAGGTGGAAGAGTTGGGTTGGGGCTGTGGGAAACGAAGGAGGGGGAGAAAAGAATTTCCTAAAAATTATTTTTCCCCTCTGTAGCGATAGATAATTAATATTAGCCATTTACCCCCAGCATTAAATGACTGGGTCAAGTGATACCCTAATGACACGATCTACATCCTTCAGGCTTGACTGCAGTTGAAAGTTTCAGGTCAGGGACAGGCCCCCCATGTCCACGTGTGCCCCCCCACCTGCATTTTAAAGGTTGCTTTGCACACACTGGCATTTATTTCTCTTTCCATGTACTGGAAAGGCACTGCAATGCCCCTGTTTCCATCACGCCTGCGAAAACGTGCTGTCATTTCCCAAAGCCTCATCCCCGAAAGCAATTTCTCCACTGTGTCAGCATCCCTCTTCTTCCAAAGCTGCCCTCGTCTGTCTGTAAGTTTGCTCTCCCTGGGACCACTCACAGAAATGTAAATGCTGAGTGTTTTGCAGCACCTGGCCCTCAAAACTGTTGGCATTTTTAGCTCAAAAGTACCTGAGGAAGGTTTTTGTTATTGATCCATGGGTAAAATTTACACAGTGGTGATGGATGATATTGGCTAATCCATCCGTCTCTCTGTATCTTCGCTGAGGGGTACTGTAACATAATGTGAGCAAAACAACTCATTCGTTTTAATGAATTGCCTCTATTCAGAATATTTTTCTTGAAATTAAGTATCTTTTTAGTATTCAGAGTCTGATCTCATTGTTGCTCAGGCAAAACCTGCAACCAAGCACATATTTTACTTTTAAAGAGAACCCTTGATTTGATCCTGATAGCTATACTAGTCAGATACCAAAAGTATTTGCTGCTCTTGATTTTTTTTTTTTTAACTACTTGGCATAATTATTTAATCTATTATGTCTTTTACGAGACAACATCTGCACAGCTGTGTGTTAATCTATGTATTATATCAAACATACAGGTATGAAAATATAGTTAAACAATTTGCAAAGCTGTTTCCACCAAGTATTTCGTGTTTGAAATTACGCTTGCTATTATCCCAGTATTAAAATAGAAAAAATGTGACAGGTGAAATTATTTTAATGATGAAAATAGTTTTTAAGTGCAATTACGGCTGTTAAGCTGTCAGGTCTCCATCCCACAAATGCTTAAATGCGTGCAGAACTTACTTACACCCAATTAATGCAACAAAGTAGGTCAAGGTGCCCATTTGTGCCTGGAGAATATGACAACATCAGTCATTAAAGGAGAGACAAGTAGCAGGTGTAAATTGGTGTCGTTACGTACAGTATTTCCATAAAAGTTAAAGAAATTTCGCTTGCCATGGCATTTCACACCAGTCCCAAGGTCCCTCGAGGCTGGTGATACCTTGCGATGGCTCTGGCTGAGGGGGACCTCTTCCGGCTGCTGAATTCAACCTCTGGGCAAAGCAGAGCTGATCTCAGACCCATGGCGTTGCCTGGGGGCTGAGATTTCACGACAGCCACGGTGGGGAGCATTAATGGCCTGATCCTGCAAATGCATACTGCATGCATCGCTTTCCACCCAGATAAGTCCTGGTGGCTGTACTAGTGGGTCCTTTCTTAAAATTAAGTGTGTGCCTGGGTGTTGGCAGGACAGCAGTTGTGGTGCTATCAGACATATCTTAGTGCTGACCTTATCAGGCTCCCAGTACCTTTACAACTGTACTTTGATGCTTGGAGGTGTTCTCATGGCACCCAGCGGTCTCGCCTGTGCAGGCAGGTCCTGCTGCCTGGAGTCTTTCTGGGGCTTAGAACCGGAGCTGCATCCCCAGTCCAGCAGTTTTTGGTATTGACCAAGATGGGCTCGACTGTCCCTTCAGTGCTTCACACTCAGATGCATAAAGTTTACACTGATGTTTCTGTGCATGTCGTAACTCCAGAACCAGCATCTTGGATGCAGAGGTTTTTTGCCCCCTTTCCTCAGCCCTTGACTGTGGTCTCTCCACCCCGCAGTTCTCCTGGCAGTGAGATCTGGCTCATGTGAAGGTCCTTCAGGAGGACAGAGCTGGCTGGAATGAGCCCTGTGGCTCCTGGGGGATGGTTGGGGGTAGCTATCACACTCATCATGTACATCATGTACATAGCGGTGGATGTGAATCAAAGTCTGTGTTGGCAGGATGAGGGCTTTAGAAACAGCACGGCTCTTAGGCTGGTGCCGGCTAGTCCCGAGACAGTGCTGGTGTGGTATTGTATGTTAGTTAAGTAATTATGGTTATCATCAGGCCACAACTAGATAGGAGACTGAGACCAGATCCACTTGTTAGTCCTGCTAATGCCTCTGCACATGAGGAACTTTATCAGTTGAACCTACTGAGGCAAAGGACTAAGTTCCAGGATGAGGACCTGCACGAGGGCTGGTGACTCTTGTCTTCATCAGGCCAGTCTGCCAGCTTCAGTATCTTCTCCTGGACACTGACTGACTACAGGTGCCAAGGGAAGGGTAAAAGCAGGGGCCAGCATGGGATAAACTCCCCCAACCTTAAGACATTTGTGATTAGGGGCTTCTTGAGATGGAGATGGGATTTTTGTGTTCAGCAGTTCTTGATGGACTTTATTATTCTGTTATAAAGATCCTACACAGATGGAGGTCAAACCCTGCTCACCTATTGAGAGCTGACTTCTTTGGGTTTGGCTGCACATCCAGGACTGCCCTAGGTTGTATCTGTGGATAAGATCATAGAGTATGTTGGAAGGGACATCAAAAGATCATCTGGTCCCATCTTTCGTGGGAAAGGGAGCCTAGCTGAGATGATCTAAGTAGGGACATCCCTGCCTTTCCTTTTGGTGCTACTTTCTGCCAGCCCCCTTTAGTACAAAGAGCAGCAGCATTTGGATTTCAGCTACAGCTGAAGCAAGCTGGGTTTGGCACTTCCAACAAGGCTGGAGGAATGGCCTCAAACATGCAGATGCCACCAATCACTGCTTCTTTCTTGCAGGTCTGGAGTTGTCTCACTGTGTAGGGGCCAACTCGTTGGGCCCTGCTGTGCCTTGGAGGTCCGGGGGGCCCTGCAAGATGAAGAGGGTCCGCACTGTCTTCAAACCAGAACAGCTGGAGCGGCTGGAGCAAGAGTTCCTCAAGCAGCAGTACATGGTGGGCACGGAGCGAGTAGACCTGGCTGCAACTCTGCATCTCACAGAGACTCAGGTAAGAAATGGGGGAGCTGGGGATTGCGGCACAGATCCCGGATCTGGGTTTGGTTTGTGGTGATTCCCCTGCTGCGAAGTACAGTGGGAGGAGCACAGGATGCAAAATGACCCATGGGACTCCCTGCTGCAAGATGACATTGAAGCCACGTGCCTGGAGGGATGCGAGATAGGTTTAGATGGTTTATGAATAAGAACATCCTTTTCTTAATCCCTGAAGTGGAACAAAAAGCATTTAGTAGTATGTTATGGTTTGAGGAACCCACAACAATTGATTGTCGTTTAGACAATTATTCTCCCACCCGATGACCCCTCCTCACCTGGGAAAGGAAATCGGAAAAAACAAGGAAACCTGAGGGTTGAAATATAAACAGATTTAATAGAATTAGACTAAATAATGAATATAAATAACACTAAAGAATAAATATTGATCCTGATACCAGTATAAAACATACAAGGATTATACTCAGCCAATTCTATCAGTAGGAACCTGTGTGCTCCCAGCAGTGGAGTGCAAATGTCGGACACTGTGAGCACTACAGCTTCGGGAGGAAGGGAAGGCCTCAGGAGCCTGGCACCAGGGCAAGGAGTTCTCAGGATCGCAGCTGTCAAGGAAGAGAGAGAACTCCTCAGCAAACTTTCTAATTTATAGTGAATGTGATGTTGATGGTATGAAATAATCCTGTTGGCCAGCTTGAGTCAAGTGCTCAGGTCTCGCTCCTCCTCATCCCTGCATGTGGCTCGGCTCGAAAACACTGAGATCTTGAAACCCATGTACCATAGCTGACTATGAAGTAAATATTTTCACAAATTCTGACACTAGAGTCTTCTAAAAGTGCAGTTTTCTCAAGCGTTAGAAGAGAAATCAGTCCTGGGTCGCTCAAACCAGGACAGAGTACAAACCCGCTCTCTTTAGAGTTCAAGCTGTTTTGGATTAACATATCTACATTGTTCTGATACTCTGGAGACAGTTTATGCTTTAAGTGTCCTTTTATAACACTGGATCTACATTTTTTTCTGCTCCTTCCCAGTATGTTTCTGCCTCTCGCCCTGCAAGCTGCTTACTCACTGTGGAGAGGAGGAGCCACGTGATTTTCCGTGGTGGGATCTAAATTCAGCTGGGGAAAAGGGAGAGCAAAGCAAGGGGTAGTTCTGGGGGGTCAGGTGTGAACAGCATAGGCAGCAGGGGCAGGGAGTGGATGGGTGCCTCGTGGTACTGTCTGGCAGCCGTGGCCTCAGGGATGGGTTCAGTGGCTCATGGGAGCGAGCAGAGGTGCTTCCTTCACTCCCCCGGCCAGAGACTCCTCTGTGCAGCTGCGTCCCACTCTCCCTTGTTCCTTTCTCCCAGCACCACTCTGCCCACCATAGTGTCACCTCCTCTCACTCGCATGCACTGTGCCCCAAGCAGAGAAGGGGTATGATCCCCCTTTTTAAGGAACTCTGCTTTTTGGGGACATCTGCCTCGGAAGCGTGTGGCAACTGCCACCATTGGAAAGTGGCTCCTGGAGGCCTTGGATTAAGCTGTTGTGCCATTTTCCTGCTAGGTGAAAGTCTGGTTCCAGAACCGGCGGATCAAATGGAGGAAACAGAGCATGGAGCAGAAGGCGGCAAAGCTGTCACAGTTTGGGGTGATACAGCCTCCTACTGCGGACTCAATGGACATCAAGGACCACGAGGAGGACACTGTGGACGTTGAGCTTTGAACAGCTGATGAGATTCAGCTGCCACTGTTGTTTTTTCAGCCGTGTCTGCTTGATGGAGATGGAGATACTGGGGATGCAGGCACATCTCTGCTTCTTTGGTCCAAGTGAGACATTATGCTCTCAATCTGACAGTTGAAGCTACAGGACAAACTGCAGCTGGCTGGGAGGAACCCCCCAAATATTGTTTGGCTGCTGTTCGGTAGCCATGTGCTGTAATTCTGGGGGCTTCATGACCAGGCCAGTTGTCCTTGATGGTACCATAGCTGTGGCAATGCATGTGATCTCCTGTTTGCTCTTCAAGCACCAGAACACACAGTTTCCAGCAGAGAGGCTGGGGTGACAATCAGATGGTATCTCTGATGGCTGTGAGCATACGGGCATGTGAACACGGGGTCACTTACGTTGTGTTTGGCTGTGTGCTCCTAGGAGGGAGACCTTGCTGGGAGGAGAATCTGCCCTGCTTGTTTATCCTGGTCAACTTGACTCCCACTTTTGATGCTTAGATCACAACCAAAACAGAAAAAAAAAAAAAAAAAGAAAATTGGAAAGTTGGAAAGCCCTTTGCTCCCAGCCGCAGACTATCATTACTCTTGCAATAAGATGAACAGGGTCTGATCCTGCTCCTGGAACACAAGCACCTCCTCTTGTCCTGTGCCTTGGTGTGTTTGTGCCTTTATTTTGGCTTCCCAAACCTGGAGGGCAGAACCCAGTGGGTCTCTCTGCCTTCTGGCATTGCCTTACTTTGCCAAAGTGTGCGTATGCTGTTGCAGCAGGGAATGAGGCACTCGGGCTGGCTGAGGTGTGGGGATCAGGGCTGTTATAAAAAGGCAGCTTTCCAACACCTCTGGTGCTTCAGACGACCCCCTGCCCCTCGTCCAGATGTGCAGATTCTGGCCCAGGCAGCAGTTGCTGTGTTCTCTCCTCATTATACATCCAGGTGCCACGGGAAACGGCACCTGGAGTGTTCGTCGCGCACATTCTGTAACCACCCATTGCTGTTAGCAGTTGCATTTCTGGTGGGTGGGAGGGCTTTGGGGGGTCAAGGCTTAAGTACTCGACCCTCTCTGCCTGTGTATTAGCAGCTAAGTGCTCTTAAACCAGGCTGTCAGCGCTCAGGCTATCACCTTGCCTTCCTAGGTCTGCGCAGGGCACCAGGCACCACGTCCCATCAGCTCAGGATAATTTATTCTGTCTCTTTCTGACGCAGAACACTGTATATCACTTTACTCTTATATTGTTATTTATAGAAATAACTTCCCTCCCCCCCTTAATAAGTGTAACTTATTTATTTTCTTTGTTTCTTAATAAAGATCTAGTGTATTTTAAAAAGAGAGATGGGGACTGGCTGGAGGGAGGCAGGGTTGGGCAGCTCCTTGGTTTCTGAGAGGGCAGCAATGCCTCAATGGCATCTTGCCCCACAGCTGCCAGGGATGGGTCATTGATCTTTTTTGCCGTGTTTCTGAGAAAATGGAGTAAAAAAAAAAAAAGAAGAGACAAGAAATGCACCTTTTCCTCCTCCTAGTAAGAACTGTGCTGTCAAAAAGTAATTGCTGCTTTCTAAGAACAGAAGTCGTGAAAGGGTGATTTCTTCTTGAAAGGGTGATTTCTTCCTGCATGCTTCATTCCTGACATGCGAATACAAATATGAAAGCCATTCCCTCCCCTCCCTCCCTCCCCTCGCCCTGTGTGTTTGCTGGTAAACCTGTGCACTCATCTCAAGCTTGAACATTTGGAACGGAGCAAGAACAGCTTTTAAACAGATCAACTGAAAACCTGTAAGTGTCAGAAAGGAAACACATTTCCAACTACTCTCTTTAATTTTCAACTGAAATTATTAACAAAAAAACCCAACACCAAACCCCAACATATTTTCATCCTTCCCAGAAGTTTGAGGTTTTTTTTTTTTTTCTTAATAAACTGTTTTGGACAAAATAAATGCTAAAAAAAAGATGGGTTTTTTGAAATTGATTGATGACGCTATATCATGGGTGAAAGTAGATAACACGAGTTATTATCTTCAGGCCAGTTCCTGCAGAGATAGAACTACATTTATAGTAAGAAACTATAACGTGTGGCATGTGGGGGTGCTCAGGGTCAGGCTGTTCCTCCTGGAGAACGAGGACCTCCGCCTGCAGGTGGATGTGGCCAAACCTTCTGTGCAGCCCCTGCTCCTCCGGGCTGATGCTTGAGCAAGCTGAAGTCCAAGAGAAGGTTCCCACTTGTCCTCTGCAAATGCAGAAAGCAAAAGCAATCTCAGCCCGGCTTCGCAAATATGTGCAATTAATGCTGTGAGCACCAGGGCTCGTTCAGAGGCACGAAGGACACTTGTGGCTGGGCCGTGACTCAAGTGGATGCTCTACATGTGAAACACCCCACCGCTGAGCACTGAAACCTCAGACAGACAGGACACATAATGTTGTTATTACAATAATGGATAGTCTTCCTTACTATTAGTATGAAGACGTAATTGAAATAGGAGTTATAAGGCAGCACTGCTCCACCTGCGTCTAGGTCCTCACAGGCCCCTGGGACGGGCATTGTGTGGCAGAGCAGTGCCCTGCACAGCCCGCTGCTGGGTTCACCGGGCCCAGACCCCAAAAAACAGATGGGGAAGGCGTCCCCCTGGCAGTCTGTCCATCCCTTGCCGCCGGTGGGGTGGCTGGGCAGGTGTCCTGCTCTGCGGCCATGCTGCCGCACGGGCTGCTGGCCTGGGCACGGAGGCGGCATGGATGCGGGGTTACCACGCAGCAGCGTGTCCCTGCCACGAGCCGACAGTGACATCTAGTGACTCCAAAACACCCCAAAACGTCCCCGAATATGAAATCGTCCCGTATTCCCAAACTCGTGTCAGCCGCCTGATTGACGAAGAGCTGAGCCGAGTCTGAACGGGCGCTGCTAGGGCAGGTGTGATTTAGCAAATACAACCAAACCCGCGTTTTCGTGGATTTCAGGCATTTGCAGACAGCCTGGCAGGAGGTAGCGAGGACTCAGAGGGCACCTTAGTGTGTTTTGAAGTTTTTTGGGGGGGAAGGAAAGTCGGGCCAGTTTTGTGTGTACAGGGGCAGCCAGCAATGCCTTCTCGCCCTGGGGGCGGTGAGGGGTGTACCTTGCGGTCCCGCCTGACAGGGACCTGAAAGCTATTCCTCCCCCGTCTGTACGGTTATAAAATAGTAATAATTAATAGGGGAGAGGCAGCAAGACTCCTATCTAATTTTGAGGTGGCTGTGGAACCACGCCAGCCCCGTTTCGGGGCGTTCTGGCGGTGTTTTGGGAAGGTGGCGGTGGGCTGAGGGGAGGGCTAAGATGGCGGCGCGCCCCCACCCGCCCGGGGGCTGAGCGGGTGGGTGGTGGTGGCGGGCGCGGACCCCGCTGGAGGGGGTAGCCGGCAGCCA